GATCAAATAAAGGATGAAATTAAGAAATTCTTTGAAACAACAGAATGATAAAACAGCATACCCAAACCTTGGAGACACAGCAAGGGCAGTTATCAGAGGGCAATTTATAGTAATCAATACACACAGGAACAAGAGGAGAAATTCAAAATCAACTCCATAACACACCTTCCACAGCTCTCACAAGGACAACATGCACCCTCGAAAAGCAGGAGAAAGCAAATCATAAGGATTGGAGAAGAAATTAATGAAGTGGAAAACAATGGGAAAAATCAACAAAAAAAGAAATTGGTTCTTTGAAAGGATAAACAAAATTGACAGAGGCCAGCTAACTTAAAGGAAAAGAAAGATAAATAAGATTTAAATATCTAGACAGAGATGACAAGGGTGAAGTCACAGCAAATCTAAATGAATTAAAAAGAACAATAACACATTAACAAGACTATACGCCAACAATCTTGATAATCTAGAATAAATGGGTAAATATCTAGAAATACACTGCCTACCCAAATGAACATCAGTGTATGCAGAAAACCTGAACAGAGCGATCACAAAAGGAGAAATAGAGAAGGTCATCAAGAAACTTCCAACCAAGACAAGCCCAGGACTGGAATGTTTCACAGGGGAATTCTACTAACTATTCAGGGGAGGTCTGTCACTGTTCTACACAGACTCTTCCAGAACATCGAAAGGTACAGCAAACTCCCAAATTCACCCTATGAAGTGAGTGTAACCCTGTTACTAAATCGAGGCAAAGGCCCCACAAAGACAGAAAACAGAGACCAATTTCACTCATGAATATAGATACAAAAATTCTCATCAAAATAAGTCAACAACATATCAAAAAAAGATTCTTCATGACCAAGAGGGATTCTGTTAGACAGGGTTCTCTAGTGAAATTAAACTAGGACACTAATGATTTTATATATATTTATATAGATATAACATAGGAAATAAACAGTTAATCTATCAAGCAGTACAAATGGCTCAGTGCTACTCACTTCCATGAGACAGTTAATACACTGGCAGGCCTTCAAATCTTGAGGGCCACTGGGTAGTCCTCTGTAGAGCAATTCAGTCTATCTGGCCATAGGCAGCAAACAGCAAGGCAGGTCACCAACAGTCAGCGGATGACAGGGTCTGACAGTCCCCAGCTGAAGCGATGTATACTCTAGTAGCATGGTGAAGCAGATCTTGCAGGAACCACAAACTACAGCGA